CTGAGGGAATCTATTGGCAGTTGACGTCGAACTCGCTAGAATATCTCCAACGCGAGGTGGAACATCATTACAGCATGCATTAAATTATATAGGTCCCATATTTTAATTTATCATGAGCCAACTTAAATGCAACTTTTTCATGCCCTGCTTTTGTGGCTGGCTTGTGTTGTTCGGACTGTGGTTGGGATCACGGTCTTTTATTGCTGCCGTGGTTTCTGTCGTTCCCGGCATCATCGTTTCCAAACTGGAATTCAGCAGCGATTTTCCAGAACTCCCATCCGAAATGGAAGCATCGTGAGAACTGTTAGCCATAATTCGTCGAAAAAAGGCACAATCTTTCACCAAAATACTCAGAAGTAGGAAGTCAAACAAGAAAAAAAGGTCTCGTGGGACCCTGTGGAGCAGCACCGTAACTCATAATGAACACGCCACACACGCGCTCAAAGCCCACGGTCGCCAGCGGTTTAAGAAATTCAGTGACGTGTCTGGTTTACGAAAATTAATCACCCATTTTCTGTTCGCTATTCTTGCCACAACACTCTTCTTCGGCGAAGGACGGGTGACTCCTTCATATTTACTCGGTTTGACTGGTTCGTTGTAGGGCAATTTCTGTTCGTTGACCTTTTGTGAACTTGACCTTGACTCTGAAGTATTTCGTATCATTACCGGTTGGATCATCACGAGAAAGCAGGAGATTTTCCCCGTCAACGTAGTCAAAGAGGGGGTGATACTGCGCGCCTGATGCGAAAAAATCTCGCGGAAATGATTCTGTTCTCGTGCGATCAAGTGGCCCCCAGTAACTTTCACAATGTTCCAGTCTGTACACTCCAACCACACTACATGTAGCCCTAGAACAACATCGCGTGTTTCTTATACTTGTTTCAGTATCTACTCGATTCTTAATCTGTTTTCTTCGATTTTGGTCTTTAGAGCAAACACTCTTGTTTGCTGTGGATGAAGGGGCGTGTCAGGCTGGATGGGTTAGGCACGACGCCATATCCGTTTCCACCACCTGTTGAAGCGAGCAGACGACAAGACTGGATCATATCGCTCGTATCAGTCGTTTTTCACTAGTTGTTGTCACATACCCACTTCAACAACTGTTGGGGAATGGGTTGCGCTAAACTAAACTACCACTAACGCTAAACCCATCCAGCCTGGCACGCCCTTTCATCTGCAGCGAACGAGACTATCATCCCTCTTTTGAATTATTTACCTGGACTGATTTTGTGAATATACTTCTTTGTATGATCACTCGATTGGTTAAAGAAGACTGCCAAATGAGACCTGGGTAGATCGAGAGTCTGTAATGCTATTTACAAATATTGAATCAACACTACTATCTGCATTTCACAAGTGACTTATGAGCAGGTAAATTTGTATAGATGCAGTACAGTGGAGAGTTAGTGGTGAGTTGTGAAGGGTAAGCGAAGAATTGGATAGAGCAAAGTGAGTCGGTGGCTCCACAGGCATAGCATGATGGTTCGGTTCCCGTGGGAAGTTCTTGCTTCATTTCTAATTCATGGTTTTTACCCGATTTTTCGAATTGCATACGGATCAACACCTGGCCATCACTTGATTTACGTTCTCTGCGTTCACTTACTGCCAAACTATTTATGTGTTGTTTATTTTATTTACAACATTGAGAATATCGCCAACGCCGTTCAAACAGTTACCAAGGTTCATTTAATTATAAGTTTAGGTTGTCAGGCGGTGTACAGTACCCCGAAAATTGCGCGTGGGATTAATTGTGTTGTCCGTGGATGCACACAACGGGGCCTGGTCTGTGTGGACCACTTAGTCTAGGCGTGAGGTACCGTAACCGGGGCGGGTGCGTGCCGGGGTCGGGCGGGTCGCTGCACGGGTGGCCGCCGCGCCCCGGAGCTCGCGCTTGGGTTGACGTCAAAGATGAAACGTACATCAGCCGTACACAGCCTGACAACCTGAACTTATAATCTTGTACCAAGGTTCAGCACTGATGAAACTACTCGAAAAATGCGTGAAGCAGATGTGCTGCTCACAGACTGCGCATCTTATAGATGGTGCTTCTCTACAATCGTTAATGAGACAGTCAGCGTCTCAAGATTTAACAAACATAGAAATAGATTAGAACAGGACAGGCGCCCTCAAGCAGTATTGCACAATTTTGAATTCCAATTTTTTCTGTTCTCCTTTCTTTTCGGAGGGAGAGGAACATTTCTCTCCTTCCGAGTTGCAGCATCGTTGTATTTCGGCCATCCGCATCTGCTAGGGCTATCGAAACGTTTTTTCTAGAGAGAAGTGCGTAGATGAGAGTTATAGCTACGCCGCCATGTATTTATTGTGTGGGTCGAAAATCAGGCAAAAATTATGTACTAGAAATGATGCTGAAGTTTCGATGCTCACGGGAATAGAACTACTCTGTTGTGCCTGTGGAGCGAGGGCCTTACCGTCGAGCCGCCACAACTCATCTCGCGCTGCTCGATTCTTCGTTTATCCTTCTCAACTAACCATAACTCTCCAGCCTTACTGCACCATTACAAACTTTACCTGAGCATAAGTCGCCAGTGACATGCGGGTAGCAGTTCTGATTTCCATATTTGTGAACAGACTATCGATCTACATAGGTCTCCATACAAAGTTCCATGGTAAGTTGGCGGACCTTCCTGGTAAGGATGTCATTGCTTTTGATGGTCCCTTGCATGTTTTGTTGCTCACTAAGGGCTAATGGGGTTGAGCTGCGGGTGACGATCATCTCTATCTAATGCTTTTTGGTATCGATCAACTGCTCTGAATAAACAACGATTTTATCGTGCGACAGTAATCTTTTCGTGATAAGGCGTTACGTTTTCGCATTGCTTTCAAGCGCTGGTGTGAATCCAGTGGCTTTATAGCTTCCGGGAAGTAAATTATCCATTAGGTAAGTTCAGCCAATTCTATCCGATCAGCGAAAGTCCGTTCTTTTGGGAAAATGTACCGGTTCTTAGTGCTGCCCAGCCTCCATGCACCTGAACGCTGCTGTTTTGCATACTTCGACCCGGGCTAAAATTGGACTTTTGTTTAGATACTTCCCACGCGATATTGACGTCCATTACGAGCCATCAATCATTCATATCATTGTATAGTATCTTTTGTGTGGCAGTCAAAACCATGAAGGCGACGCACTCTTTCAGATTCCACATAGAAGGTTCAGTCCGTAGTTTCGTAGAAACAATGGATCAGTGGCGTCAATCGCTCATGGCAATCAAGCAGAAGTCACCGGAGCAGGTGAGCATTACCGAACTAAGTAACCGTTTACTCATAACTTGTCTTTAGTTTTTCAATGTAGTGAGATCTTACCTTTTCTCCTTTCACCTCTGTCTTAACTTTTAGGTTCACAACCAGTGAAGAGGGTTGATATTTCTCTTCTCCGTTCATTCGCCTTTTTTCGATGGCCCACCTTGTTTTCTTCGGTTCTTCAGCCCTATTTTTTCTTTCCTCCATTCAGCTCCATATCTTAGTATCTCTC